CAGTTCGGTCAAGTTGAATTGAAGAGTTGAGCTGATCAACTAAATCAAGTCCTCAAACACACGAAATCAACAAAACAACAGTCCTCGAAATTGAATAAAAGTAAGCGTAGGGTTACGGTAATTGCTATTACACGCAAGTGCAGACTGCTACCCGTGTGCAAATAGGTAGCACCGCCATTTGCCAACTCCAAAGCGGATCAGCTGGCACACGTCATGAACGGTCAACACTGCTCACAATTACAACCTGACACCAAAATCAATTTTTCATTGCAATGTTCTAGTCATTAAGGCTGCTACCCTTGTGTAAAGAGGTAGCGCCGCAAATTTCCCGCTCGCCACTGAGAGGCTACTTTCAGAGTTCGACGACCGTCCGTCCGTCCGTCCATCCGTCCGTTCAGCGCGTGCTGCGACGGCGGCGCCTGACCGTTGTCGACACACTGAATCACTTGCCAGCGCTGTCAACACTACTCTAGCGACCGCCGTCGCAGCACGCGCTGAAAGGACGGACGGACGGACGGACGGTCGTCGAACTCTGAAAGTAGTCAGAGCGCGTCAGTCTGCGTGTCTTGCCGCTAGCGTGCGATTTCGATTTCTTCGCATACGTTATGCTTAATTTGCTATTTGTGTGCAAGAATTAAGAACTGTTTCTGCAGGTAATAGCTTTCAATATGTCCACTCTCAAGGAGGTCAACTTTAGCACTACTTCGTCAAGTGGTGTTAGCGGCGATGACTCGTTGTGAGTTTGTGTTTTGCATATTGGTTTTGGAGTTTAATTGATGGCATTATATTTTTACCGGTCATCCTTGATTTGGGTCGTTTTAGCCAGTCGCTTCTTGAAAGCACGAGATCTCAAGAGATAGAGCAGCTTACTGAGCTTAACAGTCGTCTAGCGACCTATATTGATGTGGGTTTCTGTATAAGATTACATAGAAATAGATTATTTGATGTGCCATGAGGAAAGACCTGTTGAACTTCAAGAGAATAGTTTTTTGTTTCAGAGTGTACTTCAACTCGTGGCCGAGAGCAGCCGTCTAACCGCGCAGATCAAGGATATCAAGATCATTGGGAAGAAGGAAAGAGACAACCTTGCTGACCGCTTCGAAGCCGAGCGTGTGAGTGCTAGCTAACTTTGACCACCAAGTGTTTCTTGTGTTCTTCATGAGTAATGTAGTCCCGTAGGGTTTTTGCTGTAATTCATTCATAGAAAGGTAGAACTAATAGTTTCAGGCTCGCCTTCGCCAAGCCCTAGGCGATGCTCGTGAGCAGGCAGCTAAGTACGCTCTTGAGCGCGATTTGGCTATAGCTGGTCATGGGGGTTTGACCGGAAAAGTCGGAAAGCTAGAGAAAGACCTGAAAAAGGTGGGTGGTTGGATTCAATAGTTCTCCAGAATCTTAATAGGTTTAATGTTTAGTCCGAAGATGAACGTTTGATGGCGCTATCGTTAGCGGAGACTAGCTCAGCTAAGCAGAAGATACTGCAGAATAAACTCGACAAAGCGCTTGCAGAAAATGGAGTAAGTTTGCTTTGGTAATTGGTGTGAGTACTTCCCTTTTTATTCTCATGATTCCAGGATCTCGAGAAAGACAACGCTTGTCTGCGAATGCAGCTGGCTGCGCTACAAAAGAATCTGGAGGATGAGAGTGTGCTCCGTGCCACAGCAAATTCGAAGATTCGGGCTCTCACAGAAGACTTGGAATTCCTGAAAAAGCAGCATGAATCGGTATGTATGTTTAGGCTGGACACGTCTCTGTGCTATCCATGTTTACTTTTCGACGTCTTTAAGGCTCTCAAGGACCTCCATCATAAGCGCCAGGTTGACATGACCACATACGCTAAACAAATCAACGACGAGTTCAAGTCGAAGTTGCAAGACCATCTGGCTGAGATGCGTGCACGTTTCCAGGCACAGTTATCGTCGAGCAAGACCGCTCTTGAGGAGTCGTACAAGAATAAGGTAAGCAGTACAAATCCAGCTGTTGCTTCTGTTCTGACTATTGCTGTGTTGTTGTTATACTGCTTTCCTAAACAAAATTATGATTTGTTTCAGATTTATGATGCACTTGAACGTGCCAAAGCTGCACATGACGACGCTGCTCGTATGCGTGTTCGTAGTCATGAACTTGAGAATTGTGGCAGTAGCCATGATGCAGTGGTAAGTGAACAAAGGCCATCTACTGCTTGTAGTGTACCTTCACGATGTAATAATTCGCTCCAAAAGTTTGAGTTCAGATCGATAGTCTTCGTCGTGAAATCGCTGCACTAAAGGACGATATGGATGCAGCTAGACGTTCGTACCAGGAGAGACTGGGTGAAAAGGTTAGTGAAGCAAACAGCCCATGAAGGGTGATTGTTCATGATTTATGCTTTGTTCTAGGAATTGCGTATTGCTGAGCTGAACCGTGAAATTCAACGTATTATGGATGAGCTCCATCGTTTATTCGATGAAAAGGTTCAGCTGGACACTGAGTTGAACACGTATCGTATGCTATTGGAGGTCAGGTTTTTTTATGTTTTCGGACTGTTTTTGGTAGGGATGGATTAGTATTATACATTGTATTTAGAACAATTAGGCAATTTTTTATTAAGAACATTCAGTGATTACACTTTTTCGTTTTCAGCTTCAGGAAAGTTTTCTCATTAGTTTCGGCGCCGGTGGCCAGTCGCGCAACAGCATTTCCTCGCACCATGTGTCTTTCATGTCCAACAGCGGTAAGTTTTTTACTCACGTTTTTCTTGTCCGATTTGTTTGGTCTTTTGAAATCGTCAAGGGATATTAGGTGTAAGTACCCTAGGTTACATTGTTCATCCTTACGTCATTCTCATGATTTATCATTGGTCTGATTTTTAGGAAGCGCTCAACACGGAGTGAAGAGAGCCAGAATAGAGTGGGACGGGAACGGTGATGATCTGGATTTCCATAGGCTTGGCCAGAAAGTGAGTAAAGAATTGAATGGGTATCAGGTCAAATTTTTCCATCTGGAGGATGAGGAACTTGTCTAGTGCTTTCCTTCTTTAGATGCAGAAGCACGTCGATGGCCCAGTAGGAATAGAAGAAATTGATCCCAACGGCCAATGGGTACGTATCAGGAATAACACCGACGAGGAAGTCAGCATTGCCCACTGGAAATTGCTTGTTCGTGCTGGTGGAAAGGAAGTGAGTTATCAATAGTTAACGCTTTTTCGGATATGTATTATTCCGCTCTTTTTCGAATAATAATTTTAGTCCAAAATCGTGATTACCAACCTAATAAAGCCTGTCTTCCCTCCAGGTCACCTATCAGTTCAACCCACGCATGAAGTTGGATCCTCATGGTCACGCCACTGTGTACTCCGCGGATTCTGGAGAAAAGCACCGTTCGCCAACCGATGTAGTTATGGAGAATCAGAATGTGGGTTACATTGAAATCACGTAGAAGTATTTTTGAAATCATTCCTACTCGGCCGATATTGTTGGCCCGTCCATCTTAATTTATTCTGAGTTTTACCTTTTTTTTTCTTTGGGATAATTCAAACATACTGCTGCTCTAAGCGCATTACTTTAGTGGCCGATGGGTGACAATACGTCTGTGCGCCCTGAGGATCATGAAGGAAACCTCCGATCATCGGTAATATTAATGTTTCCATACATTTGATATCTGCATTCATGTTATCTCGTATCTACTGATTATTCGAGTGTCACTATCAACACCGTCATTGTGTTTGTCGTGGTCATTCAATGCCGTTCTCATTCTCTCACTCCCTCCTCCTACTCTCTTTGGGGATGTGTATGGTGAAGTTCCCAAGGTACAAAAACGGCGGACATTTGTTACAGATAGTACATACGTACTGAGAATTCTGTTGATTGCAATGGCATGCACGTCAAATGGCCAATATGCACGTCGATTCTCTGCTGAAGAAGCGATTCACTCGAGTTCACTTTAAGAAGTTGGTATCTCGGACCTCTTTTTTTTGTTTTTTAAATGGATATCTCTCTCAAGTGACGTTCTCTTTTTCTCTTTCCATTTGTTTTTTTTTTGTTTTTATTGTGTTATTTTGTTTGTGTTTTGTTCTTGTTTTTTGTTCGTTTTTGTTTGCTGTGTGCATAATTACTTCAAAAAGTAACAAGTAGGCGCAAGAAATGAATTGTTTACCCGTTGGTTCTTTCCGAACACTTTACGTAGGTGGCTAAGGAGCCGGAAAATGGCCAAAATAATAAAATCATTCACAGCCGCTTACCTAGAATCACCTAATTGCAGTAAAACAAAGGCTTAGGTACCCTGAAATATTTGAATCTAGCAATGGTACTGGGAACCCATCAGTTCAGAGCAGCTGTTCATGAAGTAGACAGACATCTGGTCATGCTTCTGTCCGGGGTCCTTAATCAGATTGGAAAATTGTGAAGTAAGTGAATTGAAGTTTGAGAAGTGTTATGGTGAGGGAATAAGGGGGACTAAGCGGCAAAGGCGTAAGAGGAATATTATTGAATTGGGTGGGATAAGGTCAGGCTTTGTGTCTCTGTCTCTTCAAAATAGGATTTTAATTTTTCTGGGAATAGGTCTCATCCAGACTAGGGCATAGGCTTAAAACTTGAAAACTAACTTGAACGCTAACCAAAAGTAGCACAAGGTCACTTCAAAGTATTTTAGGACATGGGCATTGCTTGGTCAGCGTGAGCAAACCACACCCGTGCCTCTTCCACACTACCTTATTCAAGCACCTGACAGATAGGATCGAATTACAGATGGGAACAGATAGGAATAAAGGAAGCAATAGGCTTTGATTTTGCTCTGGTGCTTCATACAAACAACCTGAATCTGGACAGCCGTAAGGGAACACATTCAAGATGGAAACGTATGGTTTTTATTTTTTTGTAGCAAGATGCTCAACTTTCCGAGTCCAACAGTATTTAGGCTGTTCAGGCAGAACTAGTTCTTGGGAGAGAAATTTTTCAACATGACGGATTCTACGAGTAGGGAATTTCACAATTTCTCTGAAGTAGTCACAGATGTGGCAGCTCAACACATATGCTTCATGTCGAATATGTCAGAGGCCCTCCTCACAAGTTTTCCATCAATATAGATTCTGAATTGTAAACACTTTTCACTTCTAACAATTGAATGTCATGAAATAGTACCCAATGTTCAACTTTAAAACCCTTTTAGACTTTTGTCAATACACGCCTTTGAGGCTGCGGTGAATTTTCCGGTTTGAAAAATGCCCATCACTACATTTAAATCTTCAATAATTACGTGAATACGGTACTTTCCATTTCGAGAGCCCTTCAAAGGTTTGAAAGATCAATATTCCCCCTCAACATTCCCCTCAACATTTTTTCCTTTTCCGAGATCTATTAGAATGGGGTTCGAATTCTCACCAACTTTGAAGGCTCAACTTCTGTTCGAACCAGGACTTTGTCCACGCCATAAATCCACACAT